ATTTTTTTTTATTCCAAATAAAAAAAAAATCAAGTAGATAAAATACTGTATACAATTCATTTTAAGTAATATTTTAAATAAAATTTTTTTAACTTACTCCATTAGTTTAATTAACAGTGTTAACAACACATGAGTAGATAAAAAATCAAATATTTTAAATATGTAAATAAAATAGTGCATGAAAAGGAAACAAATGAAACGTAAAAATATTAATGAAGCAAAAGAATAATATTTTAAATAGTAATTATTTAACCTAACAGTAACATAAGCTTGCTTATAAAATCTAATAGTTAATATAATTTCTAAATATACTATTACATGACTTGGAAACAGGGACAATAATGAACTTTTGACTAGAACTATGTTGACCTGTACAAAAAAAAATCATACTACAATCATTGCGTTAGGCAGGTAGATGCCTAAGAAAAGAAAATGATACAGAAAAGTAAAAAATGAAACATATTTTTTTGGGGTATCAGTCACATACTGATACAACTAAATACCAGTTACAAAAACCTGATAATTTAAGTATCAAATACATATTAATATTTACTTAGATCTTAATTAAAAGTGGGGGTGAAAAACTATTAAGCAAAATTTTCTTTTGCTAAAAGTATACATTGAATTTCTAAGCTCAAGTTTAATTCACTTAAATTGAAGATTTAAAAATTATTTTGCTAAAAAATCTACATATTAAGCATGTATTCATGATTGTTACTATCAACAAATTAGGAAAAATATAATAAAGCCACAGATATAACAGTCACAAATTAATATATTAATAACAACTGAAAAATGAACCAAGTGTTACTAAACAAAACATTTTTAGTTCATCTATTTCCTGATAATTGAATTGAATGGCAAAAAACCTATAATTCTTTAACTTATGCAAACACACTTTGGGAATCAAATTGAAATAAATTATTCCTATAAATTTTTATAGGAAAGTCCTTTAAATAATATAAAATTTAAAAACAGGAAAAAATTTGAAAATCATAGTAAAAACAAACATTTTAAAATCATAACTATTAGCCTTACAATAAATATTTATGGAAAAAATTTAATTTTGTAAGTTTAAAGTAAATTAAAATACTGTACGATTAATATAGCACGAAAATGTAATAATGAAGAAATGTAATCATTTTGAAAATTTGTGACGAATCAATTAGAAAATAGCAACTTTCTTATATCAAATTTGTAATATTCTTCCTTGTATCTGAATCGGAATTGTGAATCCACAGCAACTGAATATCGCCTGATCCAGAGATTACTCGTTTCGCCAAGTTAGTACAATGATACACAATGATCCAAGTCGATACATGATACAAAATGATTCCATTCCATACATGATCCAAAGCAGTACTTGCTCCTCATTGATATTTAGTAAGTCCAAAATGATATGATTCTAATTTGAATACAAGATGGTTTTACACGGTGTCGCCATCTAGTGACTTAAACAAGATTTAAAAGTAATTTTTTCCTTCTTTAAGTTAACCTTATATTTTAAAAATGAATTGATATAAAATGTACTTGCTATATTTATGATGTATTCATATAAAGCACTAAATACTTCCAAGCATTTCAGTACAAAATATCATGTACATTGATACATGCAAATCTGTAATATATATATAAATAGATATGACAGTAATTCCAGACATAACAAGAGAGACGAGTCACCTAAATTTTTAGATGAAAAATATTTATATTGACATAACAGATTCAAAAAAAATATAAATGTATGTTCTTAATATTCAACATTTTAAAACATAGAATGGTATTCATATATTTAGTAAAATAAAAAAGTTTAATATACTACAGTTGCCAATTTTTTTCCCGGCTATGAAACCTAAATGATGAAGCTTCTTTTGGCAGAAACCTAACTTAATTAAGTTCACTTGCAGCTTTTAATATACTACCAAAAAATAAAGACTTAATTATTCTCAGAATATTTAGCTTTTATTTATTTGCTAATCTGCTACTTCAAACAAAGGAAGGAAATAGAAATAGTATTCCTCAAAATAAATTATTGGGATTTTAATCACATGCTTATTATCTATGCTGCGTCCAGTTTCTTTTCATGGTAAGCGATAATCAGCTTGAAAATTTCCTGTTAAACATGTAAAATACAACAATAATTGATTGCTGACTCACGGGACCAAACATTTGTTTCATGTAAAGCAATATTTCACGTTAAGCGATTTCAACTGTATATATATATATATATGTAATATTTTTCAATTTTATAATAAAGAATTCGTAATCGGCTGGCTGTTTTAAAAAGTAAAAAATATAATAAAAAATGCAAATTTAAAACCATTTAAGAAATAAAAAAACACTAAAAGAATACTACAAATTTAAAGAATAATTTAAAAAATGAGCAAAATTTTTTTGTAAAGCAGTGACCTCCTGAACAAAATATATTTGTGCCGTGCTTTCTAATTACGCTGCTAGGATATTGATTCTTAAATATAACACATAATTCTTACAGAAAAAGTAAGAAGAAATACAAACTAGAAATATTTTTTTCTTCTTCTAAAAATATGAAGTTAATCAGAATATATAAAATACATTTTAGAGCATGTTTACATCAAAAGAAAGAACTTATTTAAACTTGTTGCGCACACTGCTATTCATTTTGCAAGAGCATCTTTCTTTTTTTTTATGTGCATATTTTCAATAACACAACCAGTTTCAATGACATGTATTTCAGACACAAACATAAATAGACAAGACAAAATTTGGAATGTTATGTACTTTTATAATTGTACATTTTAACATAAATTTTAAAAAGTTTCCATACACACTTTAATTGTCAATCTCAAAAGATTGTTATTATCAATCTCAAAACTTTGTTATTATCAATATCAAAACATAGTTTAGGATAAAGCGGATGCATTTTATCTTTTATAGCACCCCTATGCCATTATGCTTTCACCACCATAATAGTATACAGATTGTCTAAAATAACAACTACCCCAGACATTCGACTAGACCTGTGCCGGTGATTATGGTAACGAGGTATGAAAACTTCAAGCAGGGGTGCAAGGTCACTGTTTTGGAGTGGTTTCGGCTCGAGTCGGTCAGAAAAAGGGAATCCTTTTCTTTGGTTTATTGTGTTAGTCCTAGAGAAAAGCTACCCTCTCTAAAATGTGCCATTCTTGTTTCCATAGCACCAGACAGCCTCAGACTTTGTGGCGGGAGGAGTTTTTAGCTTAGACAAACTATACTTTTGGTCAGATAGTGTATTAACATGCACATTACATTAAATTTATCTTAACCACAAGTATATTAAAGTACACTAATGCATTACCGGAAAAAAATGCTTTCTTATTATTAAACTGAGCTTGTTGGACCTGTTGGTAAAGATGTAAAGCAAAAATCAGTGCATATTAAATAAATATAGCATTAAATCAAGTCTGGTTTAAAGACACCTAGAAAATACTAGAGCGGCAGAAAGGTATATTTCTTTCTTTTTTTTTCAATTTAAAGAACTAATAATTATTCAATAACCTCTTAATTAGAAACTTGTACAAACATTTTCTTGTCAAGTGCATATTATAACTACAAGATAGAAAATCGGGTTTTTTGGCAGATTACTTGCATCTCCAAACAGAGTAGACAACTAAAGGGTTCGTAAACATAACAAATAAATATATAATCACAGTGGCAGAATGATAATGATTTAGTTAATAAACAATAACTGAAGTGCATGACAAGAAACATACACCTTCTGTTCAATTCAAATAAACTAAAAACATATATACAGCAAGAAAAGCAATTTAAAATACACACTTGATCGGTTAAACTAAAAATTTTTTTTTTAAAAGAGCAAAAAAAGATTTTGTTTCACCTATTCAAGTTTAACATTTTAAGGAAATTTTGAAAGTCATAAAATAGTAAGTATCACAAATGCATTAAAAAAAAAACTATTTGTGTTTAAAGTAGCTTTCATACAGTATTATTTTTAAATTACAGTCTAACCTCTATCGAATGTTCCAGCATCTTTTCGCTTTCTTGTATGTATTGTGTCATCACAAATGCTAATCTTATAATACCAGTTTAGGCTTTTAACTTGCAGATTCCGGCAAACATCTTTCAGAAAGTCTGCTGACAATCAGAAACAAGTTATTTGTTTGAGCAGAAAAACTGTAAATCCAGATGAATAAAAAAAATAAGGAGCAAGTTGGAGGAGATATTTATGTATCAGTGAATGAATTTTTTTTTTATTGAACATGCAAAATTTTTTTATTCTAATATTATGGGTGATATTCTTGCACTTGTTTGTGTGTGTGTGGGGGGGGGNAATTTTTTGGGGGGGGGGCACACAAATTATTTCCCTCGCATTTTGTAAATAATCATCATAATAAATAAAAAAAAAATTATGAAATCCTTAGAAGTAATTGCGCGAAAAAAGATCAATGACGAAATCACACGAATCGGACTCCTCAAATGCGTGCTTCGTTTCGAGATTAAGTTGTTGTAATAAATAATATGGCATAAAAAATATCGGATTTAAAAACTATGGAGAAATCAATATAATACTGCCAAACATTTGATAGAATTATTGCCATAAAATGTAAATACTCAAATGCACAATTCCAATTTTCCATATTGTTTGAAATATGTCGTGATATTTAAAAACCATGTGAAAATCAATATCAATAACGAGCCGAAAATACAATTGAAACATTACATCGATTTACAATATTATCGGAATAAATTGAGAGCTTAAAAAAGCAATTATTTAAATGCATGATTAAAACATTACGTGTAAATTTCGGTAGAAAAGAAAAGTAAACTTTTTTGCTTTTCAAAAGAAAAATCTTTCTGTAAGAACTCTAACATTCTGCAACAATGTCACCGTGTTGCTGCGATTCTGCCACTGGGGCCTTTGAAACAATGAGGAACTTTCTATATTCATGCAAACATACAGCTATCAGTTACAAATATTATTTGCATTGAGAAGAAATGCTCAAACAAAAGTTTCAAAATACTTAAAAAAATAAATAAATGTCCTTTATTCTTTAACATTGTAAACTTATTAATTTTAAAGTGCATTATTTTTCAAAATAACTTTTCAGGTCACTTAATATTTAATGCTGACCTACATGGCGGTAGCATTTCCTGCATGTATTGTTCGCAATTAATGGTCCAACAGAAACAATCGATCGAGGTTCCACTGCGTAATAATTAACGTATATTTGATCTCCTAAATAGTTTAAGTAGTGATAGAATGATTTATTTAATCTCTTTAAACGATTAACTATAAGGTGATAAAAAATAATAAATAAGAAGGGTCAACAATCACGTGGAATGATAAACAAGAATCGAAGTCAACATCAACTGAGGCTAGCGACATTTTCTACGGGCATGCTAAGCGGCTTCATGCCATCATTTGGTAGAAGAGGAGTGCTGACGACTTGTCTCTGGCGTCCGATGGCCGTGAGCTTGGACACTGGCAGCGACACCACAACTCTCCAGAGAATGATGGCCAGAAGAACTGACCAGGAATGAGTGAAGCCAAGCAGAAGGGCCAGGCTCCCGTAGGAGAAGAAATACACGAGGGCCCACATTGTTTCATACAATATAAAAAACAGCATGAAACAATGGCGGGTGAAGTAGAAGAAGAGGCTGCATGGACCCGGTGAAGCATTTATAGCACTTCTGTAATGGTGGTACAGGCAATGTGAGAGGCACACTATGAAGGGTATGTAAAACGTAAGAAGCTGGAAAAAAAAGAGAAAAGAATTAACACTAATCACAAGAGTAAGTAGGCAGAGGTCGTCAGTTCAGACATTTCCTGAAATGTCCGTTTTTGTAAAATTGTGAAAAAATTACTCGTAATTTGTGAATATAAAATAAACGTTAAGTCACATTCTTTTCACCAGGGTCCTGCAGTCGCGAATTTGTGCAAATAGGGTCCTGTTATTGCAAAAAACTTTTTCAATGAGTTTTTAAATTGTAAAGAGACATAAGATTATGCTCAACACTGAAAAATTATAATTAAAAAAAATTAAATTTTAAAAAATAAACAGCAATTGCTGCTACTAAATTAGAGATGCAACATACAAATATTTGGTATTTAGCCTATACTGCTGAATGCAGAATATTCATTTAGGACAAATAAAGGAAGAAGCATCTGCCGAAGACAAAACTTAGTTCCTTTACATCTGTTTTCTTTCCCCCCACCCCCCTGGGAAGAGTTTATTCGTTTAACAAAATAATAATGAAGATAAACAAATTTGTGAAGGGTCCATTTTTAAGTTAAAATATTTTGCGAAGTGTCTGTATAGTGTACTCTACTATTAGTCTGTAACAATTTCATGTGGAGAAAAAATTTCTTTTCGCCCAGAAAAAATAATAATTTAAAAGTTTCATTTATTGCCTGCATAAAATTAATCCTTTTGCACATCCTTGTTCATCATCAATCTATTCCTCTTTATGTTTCAAAGCAAACAATATTAATCAATATACCTTTTACTTGTACTTAGCTTGTGCCAACACCGTGCGTCGTGTACTCGAAATCTCGTGCAACAGAAGAAAAAAATTGCGTCTCGCATCATAGTTAGTCTTTAAATTCATTATGCCACCTATTTCACATCTTGGCTGCTAAATATTGAAACCAATAGTCAGTGTTATTAATACTGTCAACTTTTGCTCGTCATTTTATTTTTCTTGCCTCTTCAAAAACTTGTTACCTTTTTATTTTGAGCTTGTTACCAGTTACTAACTTGCATGCATTTCAATACTTGAACAATGGAATGTAGAAAATGGGAATAATGGAATAATGTGGCGTCCTACTTCATGAAAAAAATATGCAAATTTTACCATAAAATATGTGTAATTGCTCATATTGCAAAAAAACAATTCCACCATCTTCATCATCATCATAGTTGACCAGACAGCCCAATGTGGGCCAATGCCTTCCTCTGAAGATTTCTCCATAATGACTTCCGATTTATCTTTGATCTCCAATTCTTTTCATTAATTGCAAGAAAATTAGACTCCACCGAGTCAGCCCATCTCAACAGCCGCCTTCTCCGCTTTCTTAAAATGTAGCATTTTTTTTTATTGTATTGCCATCATTCATTCGAATCATGTGGGCCATCCAATTCATTCCATTTATTTTTATGTATTTAATGATATCAGGTTGTTTATAAATCTTGTACAGTTAAAAGTTAAATCCCCTTCTCCAGTTATTATTTTCATGTACACCACCAAGTATACTTTGTAAAATCTTTCCCTCAAATATTGTGATAAAATTTTCCTCCAGTTTTGTCATTGTCCACGGTTCAGCAGCGTATGCCAAGATTGGCCTGACAAGAGTTTTGTAGATTAAGAATTTTGTTTTTCTTGAAAAAAACCTAGATTTAATAAATCTTTTCAGCCCTATTTGACTGATAGAGTCGGTTTTTTACTTCAGGAGTCATTTCTGTTGTCAATAATAATAATTGATCCTAAGTAAGTAATACTCCTTACTGTTTCAAATCTATAAGAATCTACAAACAATTCCACCAGCTATTGAGAATCGGCCTTGTAATGGGCTTTTACTGTTTATAAATTAGAGAAAAATAATTTTGCAATATATGGAGGGTTGCTAAAAGAATAATTGAAATCACTTGCAAAAAATAAAAAAAGGGAAACAAACTATCTTACTTACATATAAGGTTCCTGCAAAATAAGTCAATCCTCCAGGTAGGAAGGTACCACCCAAAAAAATGCCCCACACAAAGCATACACCAATAGTAGAATCAATGATATAACCAACAAACCATGGTCCTGATTTGAAAGACAAAAAACTAATTAACTTCTGCCAGAATTTTTTTTTCAATAATCATGTAACAATATTTTTAACTTCAGATTTATAAGTTCAATTTGTAATAAATTAATATAATGAATTATTAAAAATATTTTTAAGTAAAAATTACCTAAACTAGATTGTAACACTTTACGATATAAAAATTTAAAGAATGAAATAAGAAAAAGAATAAAGTTGAATGAATATTGAATATATCACCATCAATTAGGCAAATACTAATAATTTAACCAATGAGTAAATAAATATATTTTCTGTGTCTACACACACACACANATATATATATAACATATGTGTATAGATATAACATTGTTGAACACAGCGTTAATTTCAACAGAGTTCGTAAAAGATTGTGTAACTTTCAATAGGAAATAGAGTCTCAAACATAATTCAAATTTATCTCTGACACTCAGATCTAGCTATGAAAGTTTTATGCAAGTTGGTTAGTTATTTAACTGCATTTACATTTATTATCTAATAAATGACACTTAAAATGAATATAAAACTAACAAGTATTCATAGATGAATCAAAATATATTAAGACTAGGAACTGGTGAAAAATTGTTTTTGATAAAAAAAAATAACTCATTTAAATACATTCAATCTATTCTTTCATCTGAATTCATTTTCAACACTCTTTCTTAACTGTGAAGGTTAACCATTATCATAGACATTGAATCATTGTGAGTATTCAATAACTTTCCTCAATTGATAAGCAGTTTTTATTTGTACTCAATGTTTTATTCTTTTATTTGTTTTTTGCAAAGACTTTGCGATTCCACTAAGAAGTGCACCTGTAATATTGTAGCTTTTATTATGGAATGTTATAGTTTGTCTATGGTAAGAACTCCCCTCACCACAAAGTCTGAGGCCGTCTGTTGCTATAGAAACAAGGATAGTGCATTTCAGAGAGGGTAGCTTCTCTTCACTTTAGGGCTAACACAATAGAATGAAGAAAAATATTCCCTTTCTCTCGCCAATACAAGCCAAAATCTGGCTAGGGGAGTTCTTACTTTAGACAAACTACACACATCCTTCAAAATTAGTGATCTAACCCATTTTAAGACATAAGCTCCCCAAAGCTTGATTGAATAAAAAAGTTATAATGGTTTCATTAACATGTTTTGATACTGCAATGATTGAGCTCTTGCCATCTGATTTTGGCCAGTGACTTTATTAATGGGTGTATAGATTCACTGCTGAAGCCTATCTCAAACTAAATTATTATATTTCAACATTTGAGCATTTCAGTCCTTGTTAAATTTTATTTTCATATAATATTTTCATAAATATATTTTCATGTATGCAGGTTGCCACAGAGAAAAAAAGGTTGCTTTTCGTAACCTAAAGCATGAAGATAGTTGCCAAAAACTATGAAAATAGTTGTCTAAATAAGAACAAAAATTCATCAAAAATATGACTAAAATTTTATTTAATTGTCATACATCATGATCCAGATCCATTCAGTCAAGTTGGTGGCAAATATGATAATTTTTATATAAACGTTAGTGTTCTAGCACTACATTTTTAAATCAAAAAAATTAGCATATTTGCAGAAAATTAAACACTTTTAATTACTACAGTTCATTTTTCTAAATTTTTTTTCTCCCTTTTATCAATAATCGATTTAGCTAATGTATAAATACACACACATATATATATTGTGAATACACGCATCATAATATCGTATTAAAAATTGGGTTTTCTAAAATCCTGTCAAACATGATCAAGGAACGAAATGGAATCTGTGCAAAATGAATGAACTAAAAAGTGATGACTCAAATTTGCAATTTAAACTTTTCAATTTTTTTTTTATTTTTTAAGGAAAAAAAAATCTGTGTGTTCAGAAGCTTCAGCGGCCTGCAGGTTTTTAAGCTAATTTATGCTTAAAAAATATCGCTAGGAGTACAGAAAAGTTTCCATTTCCAGAAAATAGTTGCTTTTAAAGCATTTTCAGGCAACAAAAAAAAAGTTGCACCTTTTGCCGAAAACAGTTGCTAATAGTTGCATTTTAGTCGTCTGTGGCAACCCTGTATAAGAATACATTTTAAAAATTTATAATGGAATAATGGGGAGCCAGGATATAATGTGTAATCTGAGAAAATCAGGCAATGTATTTTTATAATAGATTTCTAAATCGCTCATGTTAAATCTTAATGAGTCATCATATTAACATAAACAAATACAGCATTTTGAGGGGGACAACATATCCAAAAAAATATGGAAACAGTCTAATATTTTGAGAAATATGCAATAAATCTAAAAATATATGATTAAAATATCTTTAAAAGATTCTTAAATTTACCCACTGGGAGTGCTTCTTGATGGCAACTTCAATATCTTAAATTGCTTCAAAATGATTTAAAAATCAAAAATATTAATATGAATAAAAATTGATAATTAGAAATTATAAGTTTCAGAATAAAAAAAGGTCATTACCAATGGCAACATACAAAGCTCCAATAACAACAGGCCAAAACACAACATCAATGCTAGCTAAAAGGCTCAACTTAAAAATCCACCGTCGTACAAAATTTAACTCAGACTTGATTTTTATTGTTTCACCTACAAAAAACAAAGCACAACATTGAATACATTAAAGTGATAATTTGTTACATAGCAAGAGTACTAGTACGATTGAACACAGCAAAATGTTTTATTTAAATTTTTTTTCACCCACAATAAGTTGATGTGTTCTATTTTTATGGTTTTTAGAGAATAGGGAAAGAGGTAGCTGACATTTTCCCATTCAAAAGAAATTAAAGTCTACAATGTTAAAAAAATACTATTTTGTTCAGTTACTTGGTTTAACATTTTAGAACGATACAGCATTATATGACTTTAAAAGCATCACTAAACTAATTTCTTTTATATCAATACATACAGGGTATCTGCTTCATTTTAGATTTTCAAATTCATGACTTAACGAAGTTACTATGTTCTCTGACAAAAAACACAACAATAAATTAAAAAAAGCATTATAATAGCATTCATTGAAATGATAGGTATAACCAAAACTGTTATACTCTGCATCTTCACATTTATTGATTTTAAAATTAAAAAACAGAGTAAAGAAAGAGTTGAAGCAATAAAATAGCTGAAAAAAATACAAAAGCAAATAATTTTTTGCTTCTTTTTTTCTGCAGATACTTTTCTTGTTCATCGGAAAGGAAAGAAATACTCCTGATTTTTCTGTTCTCATTTCAGAATAAAAAAATCGCAATGACTGGCTTGCTTCAGCTAGAATTTTAAACTGATAAAATAAAAAAAAATAAATAACAAAAATTCTGCAACCAGAAGTTTAAAAGATAATTCCCTCTAGAAATGTTTTTTCTTTCATTTTTTGAGAGAACACCATAATTTTTACAGAACACGATAAAAACCTTTTACATTTTAATCAAATATGACTGTGAGTGGGGATTTTGTTACAAATTCAGACATTCGGAACACCATGAAATTCGGGGGAGGAGGTAAATTCCATTTTAAAAATTAGATTTTTCGGCAACCTAAATCCATGACTTTTCATGGTTTTCTTAAAAAAAAAATAGTTAAAATCATGACAATTTTTGTTCAATACCAAAATTCATGACTTTCCGGGTGCGCGGATACCCTGTATATCAATCAATACATACAGTGTGTCAACCACTAAAAAAATACAATTCCAATTCACCAAAATATTGTTTCCAGAAGTGGACGAGTGGTGAAGCACGTTCACCCACAAGACATGTTTCGCTGCCTCTCTCTCTTGCAAGTTTTGTTCTAAGGAGTGGATAGATGGGCGAAGCATGTTGATTGAGCAAAAAGAAAATGAATAAAAAATTCTTGCCCATTTTATTTATCAGATTACAATCGTCACACGATACAATATACGGTTTTTCATTAACATACCTATTCTTTCAAATGCAGCCATTTAAGAGTTTTGACCATCTTTTTATACCATGACGTTACTGTTTCTAAAGTTGGGATTTTGAGCATTTTTGAGTTCGCATCTATATGTGATGCCCTGTTGCTAAAACTTGTTTTCGTTCTTTTTCGTGCTTAAAATGCTTGTTTTTTCCTCAATAATGGTTAAAATTGTACGCGGAGCATACACGGAGTGGCCTATGGAATGAGAATCGAAAACTTTAGATATTATTGACCCGCTACTGAAAATTATTGAATTATTATTTTTTAACAACAAAATGAAGAATTTTTAAGTCAAGAGAGAGAGAGAGAGAGTCATATGAGCGAAATCAAAGCTTTTAATTATTCTTAAGTAGCTCTGATACTCAGAATTATTCCTTTTCGTTTACTACTGAAGTTCGTTAGAAGAATGATTTCCTTTCTCATTCTCTAATTTTGCTGTTGCGCATTGTTCATTTTTTGTGAACGTAAATTAAGAGTCACAGGTGTATTTGATGCCTTATAGCTCGTAAGCAGAATCCCTGAAATATGATGTAATAAATATTAAAAAAACCCAGCTCAACTGATCTTTAATAATGACAATCAAGTATGAATGAAAAACTCATGTACAGATACCTTTTCCAAAGCACAGACAGATCTTTAAAATGCATAATGGCAGCAAAGTGAACAACAAAGATATTCCGAATACTGCTTGACCCTAAATTAAAAAAAGAAAAAAAAAATCACAACAAAAGAAAATTCAAAGTTTTTTTTCTCAAATTTTCATCTGAAGTAAAAGGTGAAAATTATTGTATAGAAGGAGATGTGTACAGAGTAGAAACGAAATGATATCACATTAACAACTAGTGAACACATACTGGAAAAATCCTGACATCACTCATATATTCTGCGATTTTTAGAACAATTCAAAATAATAAAAAGTACATTGGATTGTTAGATAAAAAGTTTTCAAGGATGATATAATTTGCATAAATATTAATTAAAATACAATACCACTGATATGTGTCCCATCAAAACTATTCTGGCACCCAGGGGAAATCGAGGCCGGGTGCCGTCTAATGAAAACTGGTGACTCACAGTATTTTCACGCCCACCTCTGTCCTAGAGGAAAAAAATTAATCATTATTATTATTTACATACTTCTACAACTTGAATATATAAATAGGGAAGCAATGACAACCATTCTCATTATTTATGTATCTACAACTTGAAAATATAAATTTGGAAGCCTTAGCAATCATTATTTACATATTTATTTCTACCACTTGAATAAATAAATATTGAAGCTATGACAACCATTCTTATTATTTATAAATCTACAACTTAAAACATAAATATTAAAGCAATAGCAACCACTTTATTTATTATAAGGATATTTGTTTATGTTTCCCAACTGCTGGGGTCTACCAGCTGCCAACTAAAATGGCAGTTCATCAAAAGCAAAATCTGATTGATCAATCAGTTTAAATGTGAATATATATTAGTAATGTAAATATATGCTTCTATTAAATTTTTATAAACATTTTTAACTTGGTTAAGTGTTTCTTTAACGAAACAACTAAATTAAAAAAATTTTTTTTTTCTTGAAATGTAAATACGAGTATTGAAGCTAAACATTTTTGTCAGCACTAAATTATCCAACAGTTCCTACATACATAATATTTAACAAATCTGAGATTACTGAATTTTTTTAATTTAAATTGTTTATAAAACAAATGATTAAGAAATGAATTAAAGTCTTTTAAGATGACAACTCTGAATAACATAAGATTTTTTACTGCATTTGCTATATGTTAAAATTATGAAAAGCATCATACTTTTTTTAGAATCTTGCCTCAAAATATTACTGAGAGGACTGAAAATTTTAAAAGTAACAATACAATAATAAAAGTAATAATTTTAAAAAAAAGTGAACAATAGAAAGTTTAAAACATTTTATGTAATTAGTATATAGTCGACCAGATAATAAAATCCTGTGATTGAAAATCTCAATTAATTCTTATCTTTATTAAATAAAAAGGGAAATTTTGAGGTGATGAATCTGTATAAATGTTGAGTGTTTTCAGGGTTACCACTCAAATCTGTAAAAAAAAAAAATTCCCTGTGTTTTCCCTGTACATATTATACACAATATATTAAGAGGAAACAACAGTTACTGAGCTCTTGTGTGAGCTATATTGGGCTGTTTATATTTATTAGTTTTAATTGCTGGAAAAACGGCTGAACATACTTAAATAATGCTATAGTAAATTAAATAGTTTAGTATTGCTGAAATATCATTGTTGAATATCCCTTAGATTACGCTTTGAGTGGTCACCATTTCCTAAAGACAAAAATAAGAAACAAAATTCCCTGTATTCCCAGTTTGTAAAAAAAAAAAAAAAATCGAAATTCCCTGCATTTTCCCTGTTATTTTGGGTGATTTTTAAATTCCCTGTATTTTCCAGGTTTTCCCTGTGGATTGGCAACCCTGGTTTTGGACCCACTTGAAAATACGTAACTAGTGAATGATTCCTAAGTCAAGTTAAGGATTATTGATAAATATAATCAAGTACTGATTGATAAAAACAGCATAGGAACAGTGGCTTCCAGTGGACAATGACGCTTTAGTGTGAATCAATTCTTCGTAAATTTCTTGCAAAATGCAGAAAAGTTGCACATGACAGTGCAAGATTCATTCCTATCAAATCCAGCTAAGTTTACGCACATCGTAAACAAACATGTAAAATTATTGGTGCTTTCATACACTTCAGAAGAATTGTAAGGCAAAATGGATTGAGTCGAATGAAACGTGAAAACACTGAAGGAAACAATGTGAAAACTATGATTTTTGAGCAATTTGTGATGAAAATTGACACAAAAAAAAAATCTTGGTTTGAAAAAAGCTAATTTAAACACTTCTTAAAATCACTCAACAAAAAAGCACCTTAAAGAGCTCTTAAAAAACTAAAATCAAAAATAGCACCTTCAAGCACTTTTTCTAGTATTCTACCCACCCTGATCTTCAACTGAAGCTATTTAAAGTAAACCATATAGGTTATAAAAAAATCTAGAAATATATATTTTTTTTAGAATTTTGTCTTGGTCTTTTCAAGTAGGTTCATATACGTAAAACATGTATTTCCCATTTAAAACATATGCTCTTTTTATTTCAAGAAACCATAAGGGTAAACTATACAGCATTTAAGGATAGCGCACATGGTTTTTATCCTCATAGTTATGTTAGTAAACCATGTGGTACTTACCCTAGCATAGACAGTGATTGTGTGCAATCCTTCCATATACTGAAGAGGCTCCCATGTAGTAACAAACAGAGGAGGGGTGGTTGCATTCAGCTCTCTCCATACCTCACCATCAATCTGCACTTTAGCGACTATGATAGGATCTTGAGAAAATATAAGCACCCTAGAAAAAATATCAATTTTATTACATGCAATAAGTAAAAGGCATTTGTACACTGCAATAAATAGATTGCAATAGTTAGCACTTAAAATATTTTAAAGTATTGGTTAAAATTTTTTATAGATTTCAAAGCTGACCACTTAAACATAGATTAATACGAATCTGAGAATCACTCCATATTTTACTCGTTTTTCTTTGTTTTCTTTTTTAAATAATTTACACATGTTGTGGATGTGACATGAAAAGTATGTGCATTTTCAGTTTTCAGCACAAAAACTCAAAATTCTGTGAATTATTACTGTGTAAACTTTTTGTTTATTTTTTTTTTTACATTAGACAAGCAATCAATGAAAAAATTTAAATACTTTCCACAATTCTTGCTCTTGTAGGTCAAAGTTTTTATTCAAAGTTTTTGATGCAGTTGTGACCAATGAAATAATAGCTCACACATAAATATTTATAAAGCAGATTTTTTAAAAAAATTTATATATTAATGAATGATGCAGTAATAATAATTTTATTTGTTTTTTATTATGCTTTTGCCATTAATTTTTTTTCTTTTCATGTTTGGATGCATTTTTCTTTTTCGACTGTTTCTTCCCCTCTTTTCTGTAGATATTCTACATATTTAAAGGGGTTTTCCTTAATATTTTTCCAAGGATTTCCTGATCATTCTGTGCTATTAATTCGTTTGGAAAAGGAATTAATGTATAAATTGAATAAATAATGTACTATAAGTCCAAAAATACATATTTAACAAATGGTAAATATTTTTATTGAAACTGTAAAAATTTATCATACGAACCTGAATTAATAAACTATTGTACACAATGCCACATGCTCAAATTAGGCTGATTTTTGATTTATTAACTGGGTTCATAGAATTAAATCAAAGGGTACAGTTACTATTGTCATTTACATATTTGCCAGTACATTAATTTTACATAAATTTGCTTAATAGCTTGTTTAAATTAAATTTGTGCTCAATATGAAATGTTGCAGCTTGACTTTAAACAAATGTTCCACCCACAATGCTAAATATTTTAATATTTAAAAAAAAAATTATATACATATATATTGTTTCTGTAATTCAAAGTTTTAATACAATTTTTGAATACCGAGTATCAAACTTACATACAAAGAAATATTTTTGGAGAGGTATAAATGTAACTTTCTGTTGCAAACTATAATTAAGAGCAAACTAAAGATTTATTAAAATCACTACATTAACTAATATATTTTGATTCTTGTTTTCCCTAACAATTTCCGGTTTTCCTGATATTTCCGGTCCAGATAAACCTTGATTACAATATGTTCAACAGTTATTATTTTGGTTCGTTTTCTGCACCATCAACTGGATTGCAATACCACTTTAAAATAAACTAGTATGAACCATGATTTGGCCATTTGTATTTTTTAGCACCAGTGCTACCAATTTTAAAAAATGAAAATAGTTGACATGTCTGATTAAAATATCAAATATTTTTAAATAATAGATAGAATTATTTAAAGCAATAATGAACAAAAGACTTAGCCGTTTTGGCATCCCAAATCTTAGCTGAGAACGACCGGTTTAAAAAAAATCTTTAAATCAGTTATTTTCAACAGCATATCAGATGCAATATACTGAATTGATAGGCTCAATAGCCAGTTACTAATTAATTGATAAATATTTTTGAAGAGCTGAGTTGCAATAGCTGTAAAATATCGGTTCATTTAACTTACCTAATATGAGTGGATTTTAATATGCGATACAATGGTTCAATAGGCATGGTCATCATAGCATCTTTGGGATTTGTAATCAAGATTGCAGGCCAATCTTCTAAATGGTTATCGAAGAAAGAAAATAAACCATGATCGATGGCACAAAGACGATAACTAAAATAAAATAAAAACATTTTGAATTAAAAGGTTTTATACATTAACTGCCTAATCACTGTATTCAGACGAATTAATCCAACATTAAAAAAATAAAAAAAAACTTTCTTTAATGTGACTACGACAAATGTTTTAATAAAACACTACTTCCAATGCCTTAAATGAAATAAAATTAAACACATAAATTTAAATAATAAGATAAGAAACAGTTAAAAGTCCCAGTATCCCAAATCTTGAATTCAATCAACCCAAAAGATTGAGTAATTCATAATTTTAAAAATTCATATTAAAGAAATTCTTAAAATAAAAATAAAGAATAGTTGAAAAAGGAATGCCTAAATATAAAAATTAAAAAAAAAAGAAACACATAAAATGATTCATTTGAAAGGAAAACTATTATTTTTTAATCTTCTAGTTACAAATTTGGAAGGTCTGCTTCCTTTAACCCAGTGTTTCCCAAAGTGTGGTACGTGTTCTTATGCGAAATATCTTTTAACAAACGAAAATTTCAAAAAAAAAATATTTAAAAACAAAGTTAACCATGAAAATGTACGATTACGTTTTTTTCTATTGGCTATTTTTTGCAGAGTTAACAGTTAATAACTGAAATATCTTAATAGAAATAAACCTATCTCTCTATTCTAAAAAAAAGTNACAAAGCTAGCCATGAAAATGTACGATTACGTTTTTTTCTATGGGCTATTTTTTGCAGAGTTAACAGTTAATAACTGAAATATCTTAATAGAAATAAACATATTTTTAAAAAAAATACATTCATTTTTTACGAAAAATTTAGAAAGAGTACACAAAAGTCATAAGTTTGGGAAACACTGCTTTAACCAATGTGCAACCATTCCTACATCTACTGTTACAACAAGAGAGAGGGTAAATTTTATTCCCACATTATGCTTTTTTTTTTCTTCACGTTGTCTCATTAATTGCTCACCATCCACTATATTTTCAATTTTATGTTCTAAATTCTCCATGTTATAATTATGTTTGCAATCTATCAGTACTCCCTGGATGCCCCCTGAGGGGGGCGGGACAGGGTAGAATAATAAAATACTTTTCAATGACCTAATTCAGTACATTACAAGCTCCTATTTTTAATACAAAAATTTTCAAGTACCGAGGTAATCCTGTCCCTAAAGCAGAAAGATGTGGTGTACAATTACACCTTACAGAATCATTTATGCTTGGAGTCACTGATGGTAACTGAGAAATTTTAAAGTCCTCTCAATTTTACTTTGATATGATTAAAATTGCATGCTGTTACAGCACAACCATAAATTTGTGTGCATAATAAATATTGAAAAACTGATTTATTTATGAAAACTAAGATTGAAATTGCAAGAATTGTCAGTCTTTGTAATATTCTTATTGCACCCAATACAGTTATCTGGATATAATAGTAACAGGGTATCTGCTACATTTCAGATTTCCAAATCATGACTTTTCATGACTAACTCTAAGAATTTTTCATGACTTAACAAAGTTACTATTTTCTCCAATAAAAACACAACAACAAATTTAAAAAAGTATTATAATAACATTAATTGAAATGACAGGTATAACCAAAACTGTTATACTCTGCATCTTCATATTTATAAGATTTTAAATTTAAAAAACAGTCGACTGGCCTGTGTAGGGAACTGTCCTTGCATCAGAAAGGTTCTGGGTTCGAATCCCGGGCAAGGCATGGATGTATCTTTCTCTCTATCTGTGTTCTATGTCCTTTCTCCTTTGTGTGTGAATGTGACCCGCCCTATAAACGGATTGTGATAGTGCAACATGGGCGACGCTGCTCCACCGCCATGGCTTCGCCACAGACGCCCACTGGGTAACGAAAAGAGAGTTAGCAGTTCTGGCACTTTCTGTGGCCAATGGACAATAGTTCCAAGTGCCCGCAATTAAAAAAAAAAGTAAAAAAACAGAGTAAAGAAAGAGTTGAAGAAATGAAATAGCTGAAAAAAATACAAAAGCTAAATTTTTTTTTCCTGCAGAATTATATTCTAAAGATATTTTTCTTGTTCATTGGAAAGGAAAGAAATACTCCTGATTTTTCTCTTCTCATTTCAGAATTAAAAAAAATTTCCCAATGACTGGCTTGCTCCAGCTAGAATTTTAAATTGATAAAATAAAAAAGATAAATAATAACAAAAANTCTGTAGGCTACTTGAACAATGTTGCTTTCTCTCTATCTGTGTTCTATGTCCTTTCTCCTTTGTGTGTGAATGTGACCCACCCTCTAAACGGATTGTGGTAGTGCGAGGTGGGCGACGCTGCTCCACCGCCATGGCTTCGCCACAGACGCCCACTGGGTAACGAAAAGAGAGTTAGCAGTTCTGGCACTTTGTGTGGCCAATGGACAATAGTTCCACGTGCTCGCCATTAAAAAAAAAAAAGTAAAAAAACAGAGTAAAGAAAGAGTTGAAGAAATAAAATAGCTGAAAAAATACAAAAGCTAAATTTTTTTTTCCTGCAGAATTATATTCTAAAGATATTTTTCTTGTTCATTGGAAAGGAAAGAAATACTCCTGATTTTTCTCTTCTCATTTCAGAATTAAAAAAAATTTCCCAATGACTGGCTTGCTCCAGCTAGAATTTTAAATTGATAAAATAAAAAAGATAAATAATAACAAAAATTCTAAAATCACAGAAGTGATGTTTTTTCTTTCATTTTTTGAAAGAACACCATTTTTAAAGAGCATGTTAAAAACATTTTATACTTTAATAAAATATGACAGTGAGTGGAGATTTTGTTTCAAATTTAAATATTCGGAACACCATGAAATTGGGACGGGGTTAATTTCATTTTAAAAATTAGATTTTTTGGAAACCTAAATCTATGACTTTCTGTGATTTTTTTTCAAAGAAACAGTTAAAATCATGACATTTCATGACAAAATTTGTTAACGACTGAAATTCATGACTTTCCAAGTGCGCAGAGACCCTGTAGTAAGTATTGCGTACAGAGAAAACCTAACTAAATTAGAATTCTTTTCTTGAATTATTCACATTAAACAAGAATAGCAATAATTTAACAAATGAAAATTCGCTGCATTCGTGTGGAATTTTTGTTGTAGATCATTAGATATAGTTCTATTCCTTGACAAGAAGTATTCCATGAACTGGTTCAAAATGAAAAATATTTGCTAGAAGAATAGGGATAAGAGACCTTTACAAATGAATTTCCTTGCATTGTACAAGTGACCGTGTACAGACTTAAAGAACTTTTTAAAGCCCCCCAAAATAAAACAACTAGTATCACAATATAAAATGTTACTAAAACATTTACTTTCTGTTATCTTTCCAGTCAGCTAATTCTAGTTCCAAATTTCCAGTTGATTGTAAAGTATACATGCGTGGTATCATGCCACCAAATGTATGTAGATGACCACAGAGATAAGGACCACTTGACCTATAAAAATTAGATACATTTACTATAATAAACAAAGAAACTAAACACACCCACTTACAACAAGCTCTGATTTAACGAGGAAATAAAATATATTTGGTTGGTACAATGTTAAGTCAATTGGAGACTAGGCTTTTTAAAGAACTTTAACTTTTAAAGAAGCAAACCCATTTTAGCGATTGATAATTCAGTGTTTCTTGAAATTCCTACGTATTTCCGCCTATCCAGCTCAGCTATTCCCTCCTTTCTAGGAAAAATTTGTTTAACATTTCGCAGACAGCTAAAAGTAAAGTCTAGCAAATGCATTAACTTTTTTCAAAACTAACTGTGCAAATGAGAATGTTTTTCAGGCAATGAGTTTTATTCAAAGAACAATAACACTATAAAGTGATAATAAAACCAGTGTTGCCACTCAAATTTGGGAAAAATATTCCCTGTGTTTCTCCCTGTACATATTATACACAATATATTAAGAGAAAAAATAGAATCACTGGAAAACATAAGGAAAAAAGGAACAGCTGAACATACTTAAAACAAATAATGCTATAGTAAATGAAATAGTTTCATATAGCTGAAATATCATCCCTAATTATGCCATAGATTGCATTTCTGAGTGGTTACCATTTTTTAAAAAATGAAAATAAGAAACAAAATTCCCTGTTTTTTTAGGTGATTTTTAAATTCCCTGTTTCCCTATTCTCTTTGTTGAGTGGCAACCCTGAATTACATGGTTTAGAGACATAATCTCATTTTTACAAAATATAATTACTTTTGGCAGTATATCCATGATATGAAAATAACAGTAATCTTATTGGTTGTGATGCATCTAGTATGCAATAGCTCTAGACAGAAGTCAACATAAATGACAGAAAAAATATTCAAATTTTTAAATGTGTTTTAAGTAAAAGTATATTTCGCAATAATTATCATATAAGATCAACACTGAATATTCAGTAAACGATCTTATAACACACACTTTATAAAGAGTGTTTTATGGGAGTTACAACACCAGAATTTTAAATAAAACAGTAGACCAGGAGAAACTAATAAAATCCAGTAGTTTGCTGGAAATTCCAATAGAGTTGGCAGCTATGGGACACTCTTGGGACTGAAAAAATTGTGTTTACGAGAGTTGTCCATTTACGGAAAGGGTACTTGACCTTAAAATAACATTGATGTAGTGCATACCGGGCAAATGTATATCACACAGTGTCACTGAACTAGATCTAGTATATATTTCGGACATTTACCAAAGCAACTGTGATTGTCAACAATCACCAATTTCGGTCATTCACGATAACATATATATTTAATATTATAAAGCAAAAGAAAAAAAAAACCCACCTCATTAATTCTCTAGCCCCTGGATAGGGAGCAATAATAGTGGAGGTAGGATAATGACCAAACCAAATGGTCATGTTTCCCTTTGCCTCTTCCTGAAGTCTTTGAATGTGAGCATACTCATCCTGAAATAGGTCAACATAAAATAAGCTTTCTTAGTTATTATCAAGAAAATCTTAATTAAGAACCTGTCTTTTTTATAATATTCGCTTTTATTATTAATATTTCTTTAAAAAAATGTTATTTCATTTACGTATCTTCTCTTTTGCCAATCCGCTTTGAGATAAAAATAAAAAAAAATTTTTTTTTGGAGTTATTTTTTTATATCAATTATTATTTTAGGATTGAAAAACCGGATCTTTAGTTGTAATTAAGATTTTTCAAGCAAATTATGACATTCTTACATTATTTTTGTTCCTGAAAATATTTAGTTGAAAGTATATTTTATTTTTTACCAGAATATTTTGTTACCAGTTTTTTATCATTTACACAAACTTGCATTTGTTAACACCTTCTAAGCGCTAGTGGTGAGTTAGTGTAGAACAACAAACTGGCTGTTGCAATTGGCAAGTCTTAATTCCTGCTAGTAAAGCAATATACCTGAATCATGCATGTAATTAGAAGACTGTCCTTAAGTGTTTACTATCAAATTTTGTAATTTTCACTAGCATTATTAATTAAAAAAAAAAATTATCGAAAAGCCATATCTTTTAATTTTTCAAGTCAATTATTTTAAGATCTACATTTGCATTCACAGAAAATAGAATGCTCTGAACACAAACAAAAATCAGGAATAATTGGGCAAATAACAATTTTGATCAAGACAACTACTAACCCTGCAAAGAGTCATTATTATTAATACCAAAGAAAAGGTGGTTACAATTCAAATTTTGTGACATTCCATTATCACACATGCCAATGAAGATACAATATCAAAGATAACATTAACAGACATTAAACATTTTTAAGAGTAAACTTTGATGGTTAAAAAAGAAGAGGATAAACTCACTTTCTGAAGTACTCCTAAAAAATTAAAAGGTCGTTTGGGGCCAGGATTCATGCAAGCATCAATGCCGATGAAATCGTATGACTCAGAATCATGCAGTAATGTATATTTATATGAGCGCCTATGATGACCTCCTTGTACAGAATATTTCCTTTAAAGTTAAACACAATCAATTACTAAATTATGGAAAAAAAAGTAATTTTAAATTTGTCAAGCAATTATATAATACATATATATATACAGTGAAACCTCGGTTAAGCGGACACTCTCGGGACTGAGAAAACTGCTTTAGAGAATTGTCCGTTTACGGAAAGGGTACCCTAATAACGAAGTTTAACATCATAAATCGTTTTTACAATATTTTCAATAATATCGAAATAATTAAATAATCTGCACTAACTATCTACAAGGATATTTATTTAAACTTTAAAAAATGTTTTTTTTCTGTATAAATGTATTAAAAAATATATTTACTTAAAAAATATATTTATAAATAAATATACAAATATATTTTTTAATATATTTAAAAAATATATTAGAAAGTTTGATATAAATACATAATTCTAGATGCAGCTACAGATAAACGAATATAATTTTCCTATTAGCACAGATATNTAAAAAAAATATGCAAGAAAATTTTAGCATATATTTTGAAAAGAGGGGAGGAGTGGGGGAAGGAGGAGAGGGCCCATAAACGTCTGTGCCTAGGGCCTACGAAAGGTATAATCCGGCTCTTCTCCTGGTAAGTAAGTCTCCCGCAATTCACAAAAAGAAAGAAAGCAAAAGAAAAGACCTGTATGGTATGAGGACACATGGAGTTGATATATTCACAATTAATCATCTATCAAGTGTCTGAAAAAATGTTTCATTTACATAAATACCTCAAAGACTTTATTTCTGTGAATGAAAGAAACTTTCAGAAGGGAAGAAGCATTGAGAGCATTTAGGATGTCATTTCAGCTTGTGGGGTCACATAATCTGTGTTGTCCAGATGAAAAGATGCTGCAGTCCAAATTATTTCACAAGAGCAGTATCATTTTCTCTCCTTTCTTTGCAAAGATAAGACAAGGTGGCAGGAGAAAGATTGATTCTTCAATAGTGAAAAAGCTTAACAATGGTTATGGACAAGGCAAAAAATTTACATGCTTTAAAAATGGTTTAAAGCTGCAAAATTTTTTTTCTTGGAATTCAAAGCAAAAATAATTTTTTTTTCTTCTAATTTAGAAAAAATGGTGTCTGGTTTGAAGAGGTAGAAAATACCGTTTCAGGACAAAAATGACTGTCCATGTCTGGTTACGAGAGTGTCCATTTTGCGGAGAATGTACATAATGGTTCACAGGGAATTAAAAATATATCCGCATTGAGAGGTGTCCATAACATGAGGTTTAACTGTATATAAAATATGAATTCAAACAGGAAATATGTTGACATTTAGTAGATAAATATTAAAACATTTTAAGTAAATTTCTTTTTTTTATTTAGCATCGCCCATCTTAGAAACTAATATATTTAATTAGAATATATTTGAATTATATGAATAAATATTAGTTAGAAAGCCTAGGAATTACATGAGTATGCATGGGTGATTTTCTAATTAAACTATCCATATTTATAAAAGTTTTTACAAATTATATGAATCAAAATTTTTTTTTTACTCGTTTGCAACTTCTTAGAAGAAAATCGGAGAAATGGTACTGGAATTAAACATTACTATTTTGTAACCTGGAAGCAGGCCTGAACTCACTTCTTCGGGGGCTCTTGGCTGGGTACAAGAGAAGGTCCCCCAGAGAATGAATGCTCAATATAATGACTCCTGTTGTCCAAACGAAAAGGTACGTAAAACATGAAGTGGCTATATTTTGACTACGTAAACATCAACACAAATATTTACTTAGATTTCATTAATACTAGACTTATTTTGGCAATAACACACTACTCTTTTATCATACTCAGAAAGAAGAAATTGTTTCCTAGACTTTTGCGGGTTTCTACATAAATTTACGTAAAATTGCTAGATTTAAAAAGAAAATCAAAAAAATTTATATTTAATAAAAAAGGATATTAAGAATTGCGAATATAAGGGCAACTCTACAAAAGCATTTATAAATTATTTTTATTTGAAAAAATCAAGTGATTTAAATTATGCCAACTCTTATTACTCTCAGAACTATAAATGTGACTGAAAGGAAAAATACAAGACTAAGGGAATTTACAGGCCAATATTAATTAAAATTATAAGAAAAAAGTCGTAAAGAAAAATAAAGATATGCAAATAATATGAGTGCAATTAAATTTAAATTGTGTTTAATCAACATAAGAACATTTCTGAAACGCAAATAAAATATTATGAAAAACGCAAATAAAAAATTCACAAAAATGTAAACTTATGTTAAACATAACTAACAAAAAATCTAATAGGAAAGAAACAAACTAGAGTCAAATTTGCATTGGAAAGATTCGAAAAAATGGTGCATCTTAAAATATCTCAAATTTAATATAACTAGTACTACAAATGGAATGAAAGAAATTATCATCCCTCAAAACTGATAATAACAGAGAATAATTTTTCAGCCATTCAAAAAGAAATTAAGCAAGTGTGTAGAACAAATGCAGATCTAGCACGGCAGGGAGAGAAGTTTCTTCAACTGGTACATAGGCTGCACCAAACGCAATCAAAGGGTAAATTGAAAAGCATTGTTTAAGGAAGAAGAAAAAATAATGCGTGAAAAAATTGAGCACTCACAAGCAACCTTGTGTGTCTCTTCACTCCTATATGTCTGTATATATATGCGGGTGTGTATTTGTAGATACAATCAAAATAAAAGTACAAAATTCAAGATAAAATCAAAACATCTTGGAAAAAAAAACCAGATAGGGTAGGGTAACAAAAAAAAAAAAAGAAAAAAAAAAGAAGCCTGTGCATCAATCCACATGCTAACAAAAGATTTATCAAAATTCCATTTTTTTTAATAGTTAAAATATGAGGGCTGTTTTTGTAAGTAAGGGCAGTTTTGTTGTGTACACTAATAGGTGACATGTGTGTTGCATAGAGAACTTGCATTGTGTCCTGGCATTCCTTGGGAACAACTGTGCTTAGTTACAGCTGTGTAGATAACATCTACGGTCAGTTTCATGTTGTTAAAATGTTCAAGTTTAACAAATTATCCGCCGTGTATGAGGTTAGGTTCAGTGATGCATTTTTAGTTGGCAAAACACCTGTCTGCTGCATACATTCACCGGCACATTTGTGAAGTTCACGAAGCTTCCAAACAGCATGCCGACACGAAATTTTGCTACTTTATGACAACGACTCTCTTCACAGCTCAGTTCCGAGCTTTATTGGACTCTTTTAGCTGGGAAGTTCTCGACCACACCACAATACAGCCCAGACCTTGCGCTAAGTGATTTTAATCTTTTCCGATGTTTCAAACATGATTTTGGCGGCCACCAGTACAAAGATGGTGAAGACATGAAAAAGGTCATGACCTCTTAGTTATCAAAGCAGGTGGCAAATTACTATGAAGAGGGTATTCCAAATTTAGTTGTAAGGTATGATATGCATTTAAGCAAACTTGACAACTATTTTGAAAAAAAGTGAAACAAATGTAGAATCAAAAATTAATTTGTTTCAAGAAAATTTTCTTTTGTTTTTATTTTCAAACCGCCCTTACTTAAAAACAGCTCTTGTAATATAATAGAATGTGTGTAAAGATTCCTTCCCTGAAAAGGAAGAATAAATAATAGTCATACATAAAATTTAGTAATTGAAATGCATGAAGCAGAAATTTTTTTAAAAAATTATTATTGTGTTTAAACGTTTTTTTGGTCTTCTGATTTGCTTTTACATCCGTTTACATGCATATGCGCGTGTTAAAATATTAAAAATAAAAACTGAAAAATCCTTAGAAATATACAAAACAGCCTAATTAAAAAGCAGTAAAAATAAGTTTTTCAAGAAATGATTATTATTTGCAGAAAATAAAAACTATGCGGATGGTATAATGTAAGGTTGAAAAAGATACGTCGAAACAAAATGGATTATTTTTCTTTGATACATGATAACAAATATTTTATGCTTCTTTTTATAACTTTTTATTAATTACTTATCAGTTTTTTTACTTATATCATTTTTGATTGTTCTATGACTTTATAAATTGCCTGCACATTTAGAATTAATATTTTTTTGAGACTTTTATAATTTTTATAACTATATTTTGTCATATATTTCAGATTCAATAATACTTAGCATATTTAGTGCAAATTATTAAAACTAGGTTTCATTAATTATTTTCAAACATTGATTTCACACACGTAGATAAAAACATACATATTTCTGGGTGTTCTGATTTAAAATGAATAAATTGTAAGATGTAAGTTGATCCCTATTATCTTGTAATTATCTATTAGCTATTTTCATTTAATCTAGGTCAATATTTAGAATGTTTATTCTAGATATTTCACAATGAAACTAGAAAAAAAAAAGTTTAAAATTAAAGACGGCAAAGAAGAAAGTCTTTTCGAAACTAATGCTTACATTACTCAGTTTTTCTTGGACCATATGACATCCCTAAAAGCAACGCTACCCGAGTGGCAGAGTTAAGACCGATTTTATCAGTTCAGATTTTTTCTCTTAGTATTATAAAAATATAAAGTTAACACAATGAATTGTTTTTGAAAAAATGTTTTTTAAAAATTTTAATATTTCTTCCAAATTCTTGATACAATCTATTTCTTTAAAAAATGCTAACTTTTCAATTAAAACATTTAAATTATTGTCCTATGTTTATTCCTTTATTGAGTTTTTTTTTTTTTAAATTCTTTATGCATTTTTAAAACTTTTAGGTGAGGGAGCAACAATTATAATTTAAAACTAAGACTAAATTTTAATTTTAAAGTTCTTCTGGTCATTGATTTGTATACTTCAATGTATTGTCTTAATGAAAAAATTATCCACATTAAGTTAATTAGGAGATCAATTTTTAATGCATAAGAGGCATCAAGGAAATGACCCAGATATCTTTCAGGTTTTGAGAAAGGTTTCATAGTCTTAGTGCTGACTAATATTGATTATTTATATTTTTTTCACTCTATATGAAGAATGTATATTCAATCAGTTTAAAAATGTTGAAAAAAAAACATCTCTTAATTCTTAGTAATTGCCTGTTTCGCTTTTAAGATATTGCTATGAATGATAAAACTATCAAGTAAAAAAAAAAAAACCATTAAGGAACAAATAAAATTTTCTCCCACTCTGATCTAGATCACTGCAGGGGAGAAGAATAGGCCCGATTGAACGAAAGAGGTTTAGGGGTAATTCAGGCAGCTCAGGAGAAATTTTTGTTCTGCCTAAACTAACTTACTGTCAAAAAAGAAAAATAATATTTTAAGTTATATTAAAAACAACATAAATACCATTATATGTCAATTTGAATTCATTAAGTTTTATAAATTATTACTATTTCATTAGATTTTAATTCTTATTTTTTATACACATTCTGTTTATTCATGAATTGTGTAAAATTAAGTTCTTTGTTAAAAAAAATGTCAAAAATTAGTTAAAATGTGAATATTAATATTTCAATTAATCTAATCTTCAATTAATCAAATCTATTTGAACTTGGCTTTCTAAAAATATAAATATATATTTTTTATTGGTCGTTGAACAGCGGACTCAATTTTAGGTTTAGGACTACCAATGTTCAATTCCATAGCCTTTAATTTTGAACCAATTCAGAAGACAAGGAAATTCCTGGATTGGTAACCCCTGAGATATCGATTTGTTAGGGGAACATGGAGGACTTTGCGACTAGGCATATTTAACACGCATCAGTCACCATGTACTACACGGGGAGTCTTCGGCCGGCGGGTATGTAACCCACGAACTCTTGGACATGGGCCCAGTGCCCTACCAATCAGGCTATCCCGGCCCTTGTAAAAATATTTGGTATATAAAACTAAACTAAACTCAGCGGCGCGACAGCCCTTGAGGGCCAAGGCCTACTGTGCCCATCTCAGTTTTCTTGACCTTGGGCTCTGGGGTGCAGGAGCAGATGTTCCGGTGAGGTGGCAAGCCGAACGCGGAACCCCCAGTGTTTAGTTCCCAAGCAAGCTTGGTACTCATTTATCGACCCACTGAAGGGATGAAACACTGAGTCAGCCTTGCCCGGCCCGAGGATCGAACCAGGAACCTGTGGCACAACAGCGTGAAGCGCTACCGCTCAGCCACTGGGCGTCATTTGGTATATCATTTAACTAAAAAAGCACAATAATTTTGGGGGAAACTTCAAACCAATATAATTGCGTTCGGAGAAATATTAGGCTCTAAAAATTTGCTGCACCCTTAAACCATTGTGACAGAACTATTCATATGATTAAGTAACACTATCGCAAAAAGGAATATGCAATAAAAAATAAAATACCATAAGTAAAATTATGAAAAAAAGGATTTTTTGAAAATGTAACATTATTCTTACCTGAAAAAATTACTTCGATCATCTGAAGTAAGGACGTTAAAATTATCTACAACATGAAAGATAAAAGAATCTTACGAAACAGCAATAAATAATTCAGTATTCTGCAAACCTAAAAATAATTTAGGTTAAACACATTTTAATAAAAAACAAGAAATGTGAACAGTGCTTAAAGCAAATAAACCTCAAATAACTTTTAACTAATTTATTGGATTTAAATATACTGAGAAACCTCACCGTTGAACCTTAATTTTGCTAAAAACTAGTACAGAAAAAATTTTAAATTGAAAAAATCAAATCAAAAATGTACTATTTCAAATTTTTTTTTTAAACAGATTCAAAAATATGGAAGAAAGGAAACAATCTGGGAGTCAAAAATTATCAAAGATAGGGGAGATTCAAACTAGACTCCCAGGTTAAGAAACTGCAAACTTTTTTGTGTGTATAATTTTTTATCCAGGGTGCGTAGCCAAATCTTGCAACTTTTAAAATTTCAAAACTTTTAAGTACTTTTTAAGCACTCAAAAAACATTTTTAAACACTATATACATTAACAAAATGCAAAATAATAGACTTTACATGATCAAGATCAAATAACTAGTTTTTGATTAACTCTTCTTTTGATTATATCAGCCATTAAAAAATGATCAAAAGATTTCAGAGGGTGGAAAATGAAGCTTAAAATTAAAAATATCATGCAAGAGTTGCATGTGAGAGTGCAATAATTTCACAGAAACCAGCTCACTCTATGCATATGTGGACACAACTATTTCATCAAACCTGTGAAATGACTGGCACTTTCATATACTAAGGACCGAAGGTACGCTGAAATAGACTGCGGTTAAATGAATTGTGAAAACATTGAATAGAACAATGTGGAAAGCATACTTTTGCATAATACGAGGTAAAAATTGATATGGCAAAGAAAAAAAATAATTTTCAAAAAGGGAAAATTAAGCACTTTTTAAAAACACCCAATGAAAAAAAATCACCTTTAAGGGCTTTTAAAAAAAGAAAATCGATAATAAGCATTTTTAAGCACTTTTTAAAAACGCTACGCACCATGTTATCTACCAATGTGCTAATTTAGATGTATGCATGCTAGATTTAGTTTAATTTTCACAATAATAGTATCAGTTATGGCTGTGTTAGGGTTGTAAACAAACTTAAATTTAAGCAGATTGGTTAGGTAAATTCTATTAGCTGGATACATAGTAATAATGACTTAGTTATTTTTCCTACCAAACAGGAATTAAAAACTTAAAATTTTCTCAGATGCATTACCATGATTGCCCCTGATATCAAGCCAAGTTGTCATGTTGGTCACAGCAGATTCCTGTAAAATTTGTTGATACATCTGCCATTCTTCGATGAATTGTTCTGAGCCCAAAAGATCCTGAGTTCTTGAATCCACCAAATCGCCTAGAAATGAATTGCAGAAGAATAGAATATCAAAGATAAAAAAGTTATTATTATTTTTTTTTAAACAGTAATACAGTTTAACATATCTGGAATTTTTAATCAAATTGCATAAGCATTCAATGAATTATTTGAGGGGGAAATACTGTCCACTACACTTGATCAAAAGAATATTTTAATCCCAAAGCACAATTGGATAACTACCTGTTTTAGCTGATGTAGCTTTGAGCTTTACACACTCGAATGGGTAAGTAAGAGTTGGAAAAAAAATGCTGGATGGAAATTTCAAAATTGGCTTAAGCATGTTGGAGGAAGATAATTTTCAGATCCTGAGGGATTATGATTTCTATTTGTAAATCCATTTTTTTTTCACTATTCGATAGATTGATGACTTTGTTCTCAGCTTTTATAAGAAAAAAGAAGCTTATGTCCATACGTTCAACCATGACAGCTTAACTTATTAATAGTAAACTTAAGCTGCAATATAACTTATTTCATACTATAAATACAATTGTCCCAACTTTTAAAAATAAAAATATTTTTATCACTTTTTTTTCTTTCAAAGAATCACTTAATAGTCTTGAATAGTATGCACAAAATTGCGAGTCAAATTTTAAAATATGCCTCTATTAAAAACACAATGTATTTTTAACATGTTTATGCAACCAAAGTATTAAAATAATCTATAATTTCAAAAGTTTCGACAGCAAACTTATTCATGGTTCAAATAAATGCTTTTCATGATTTCAATAAAGAATAATCTTTAATAATTTTGTTTTCTTCTTTAGCCACTTAATAGATTCTTTCACTTTAAGTATTATTTTATAAATTCAAAAACCAATATTTTTGTCTATAATTTTTATCTACCATTCGTTTACCAAAAATGCAATTGTTGCTATGCATCAGACAAAACCTAATTCTTACAAAAATATCAAGCGCCTGCCCGACTGAATTAGGGTCAGTGGCAAATTCTAGAGATGGTTCTGCACATCGGAACTGGTAAATTCTGTTACTAGAAGCAAAAGTCATCCTATTTTAGCATTCGAATTTTACAGGCAAGAAATTCAAACATTATACAGATGAAGTTGACTGAAGAATCATTGATTATAATTGCTTGCTTTGTTTTAAAAAATAAAATACTGATATAAGTAAAAATTGTTTTTATACTGTATAACTAATAAGCACATCCTTAAAGTTATGATTTTTTAAAGTCTGATGATTTCACTGACATCAAAGGTTTTTATCACAGAGAATTAATGAGATAGTCAATGTATGGAAATTATTTAATGGCCAAAATAGACTGGAAAAAGAAAGAAAAAAAAAACTGAGAAAAAAAGTTAAATGAAATTTTCAAATTATAACTTTTTCCATTCGCCATAACACCTTTAAATGACATCCATCTAGTTTTATGTTTATTTAAATATGAGTACGTTTACAACTTATTAAATATGAAGCTCGTGCAAATAAATAATGATGAAACACTTATCCCGTTCTGCTAAGAGTTATCCAGAAAATTGATTTTCTCCCTGATCTAATTAATTTATTCTTCATTTGATAAATAACTGACTAACTAGGTCTGAGTCTTTACAAATTCATAAGGATGTTCTTTAATTAAACTATAATTTAATTAAACTATAATTTATATTATTTTTTTGTATTTTGCCTTCAATACTAAACTTATAAATTAAGTTGCAGTAGGTTGTTTAGCCATATTAGCATAGCGGGGTTACCATTAAAAAGCAAATGGGTTTCTCAATTTGTTTATTTTTGCATTCAAAAGCAAAATTTCTCATTAAAATTTATACCAATATATTTATATAGTTTACGTATAATATATGTAACTTATATGTACTTATAATTAAACTAATAATAACTTATATGTATATATAATTTGATGCAGTCAATCTACAGACATGTTTACGCAACTTTTAATTTTAATTTGAATTTCACAAATTTATCACATATTAATCAACTAATGATATATTATAGATAACGATATTTTATCTTACCTGTAGCAAGAACAACAAAAGGTTTTATGTTAGAAACTGTTTCTGTGCAAAATTTTTTCAGATCTGGACCGCGATGAGGATCATGAAACAAGCTTAAGTGTAAATCTGATATCTAGACAAAGAATAAAATAAACATTCATCTTAGTAACATAAAAGTTAGAGTAAAAAAATATATTCATTACATCCAGCTTTTGTACTTTTTTGTGTCAACTATCATCACCAAAGAGTTCTTCTTGCTGAAATAATAAAAATCGTTGCTTGCTCGGGGGCAATTATACCCTTCGAGTTAGTCTCTGCGATGTTATTGGGTTATTTAGGACTATTGCCCGGTTATTCAACACACTTACGGATAGGGTTGTGCAGTCGGAATCAGAGCTAGGCAGATTTTCTGGTTAAAGTAGTCAGCGTTATGGAGTCACTAAAAATGCGTAAACGAGAATTCCAATTTTCATGTAAACTACAATCACCAAGGTGCCAAAAAGATTTAAACATGCAATTTTTTAAAAAAACAAACAAACAAAACATGCAGATGTTTGCCCGGGGGTGGCCACAAGTTATCTCTTTTGAGTTGGTCCCTTTCAGTGATGTTTCTTTTCTTTTTTGTTTCTCGCGGGTTGCTGCCCGGAAGTTGCCAAGACTTGGCAATTGTTCTACCACAGATCATCATATGGAAATCTCCCCTTTTTAATATTCACCCAACACCCCGATTTGAAATAGTTAAAAAAACAATCATAGTCGCTGCCATTGCTCCAGGCGAATGGCATGGAGACTTTTTTTATAGAAAGACTATAAAATTTTTTAAAACTATTTTATATATTATAATAATTATATTATAACTGTCGTTGAACAGCCGACCCAATTTTTGGGTTTATGACTATTAATGTTTAACTCCGTAGCCCTGTAGCTTTGAACCCAATGCAGAAGACAAGGGAACTCCTGGATCAAGAAGTGGGAGAAATTTTGCTTTTGTGGAGGACTTTTTTTGATGGAACTAACCTGCATTTGCGTAACATGAAGAGGAAGACCACGAGAACCTCCCAGGGTTAGCCTGATGGACATTTCATGCGAGCACTATGGTGGGTGTAAGCCGGATGCAGATCCGTATCGACCAACCATCGCCGGGATTCGAACCCGGTTCACTTCATTGGAAAGCGAAAGCTCTATCCCCTGAGCCATCACGGCTCGATACATAGATATTTTTGTAAGTTTGATGATAAATAAACATTAATCAATATTAACACAATGCTAATTGTTGATGAGTTAACTCGCCTTTTCATGCCCTAATGTTGTTAACTATAAAAAATTAACTTGTCATTGCTCCTGCATTATCTATATCAATTTAAGAAACGCGAGGCGATATCGAATATTGCAACAGCTTTGAATCTTGCGTTTAATATCTTTTCAGTATAAATAAAATTTATGGGAGTTTATATTTAGAATGTTTCACTTCATTTTCATATTCAATTACCAAATAATAGCTGGTGACATTGTATACTAAGTAAATTTGGTTCTCAATAAAATGTGTTTAACATATAGTCACTGTTAGTATTTCTTGTTGATATTATTTATTTTTTGTTATTCCCCCTTCTTTTTTGTTAATATCATTACTTTCCTGTTGACAAATTAGCATTAATATTAAAACATTTCAGTTAAAGAGTTTTTAAAAGATTGGAAAAAACACAACAGAAATCTATTACTTTTTGGAGTAAAAAAATTACCCTATCATAAACTACTACCTGGTCTAATAACGGCCTCAAACTTCACCTATTTTAATTCTTGATAGAGTGAGAATATCAACTGACGACAAGATTATTCATTTAAGCTAAAAGTCCGAAAACACTGCACTCCAGTTGTTTTGCAAAATTTTTCTCGTACAACACATCAATAATTCACAAGACATAAAATATTCAGTAAAATAATCTATAACAGAGTTAATTACTTGCAAAAACCAAACAGTATGCTTCAGACTGGAGCCTGGATACATGTCGTCTTCCATTTGCTTCTTAATATCGTCATATTCAATGTCATTACTAACATGAACAATATTCTGAAGCTTTGCAACAAGAGTCGATATCACAGTCAGAGTTGCTAAAGTAAAGAGAGTAACTTTTGACAAAGACATATTTAAACTTTCTTCCCAAATTTTGCAAAGACTTAATGAGAAAAATACTGCTAATAAAAATTAATAATAATAATTAAACAAAACAAAAAGAAACTGCGTCTAAGATAAAAAGTTATTGCAGAAAAACAACACAAACAGAAAATTGTTTTTGCGGTTTAGAAATAATGCGTTGCCATGTTTGGAAAGCGCATGAGAAAAACTAAAAGTGAAAATTTTAAAACAGGAAAAATTAAATAAATAAAAATGTTGAATTTAAGGTTATATTTAATTTCTTTTTTATTTAAACAAAAAATTATGTGTTAGGAGATTAATCAGTTGACGTTAAAAGGTATAAAATTTTAATGCAGCATAATGAATAAGCTATAAAAGGGGTACCCGTAAAAGGAAGTGAATAACTTCTTAGACTATCTCTGCTTGCAACACCAAATTGATTTACTAATTACCAATTAATTGATTTTTTCGCGTGATTAGCGTGTTTTTGTATATAGCAAGGATAAATTTTCGATCCCGTCTAAAGTTGACGGCTCATTTGTAGACTCGGCCTTGGTTTGCGTTCGAGCTTTTTCTGAAGTTTAAAATTAAAATTTAAGCTAATATAATTCTTACGACCAGAACGTGATAATGGCAGGGGAGCAAGGGGCATGTAGCGTATCTACCACTACAAAATTACAACTACAATTCACTAGTATATAAGACATGTTAACTCGACTCTATGTTGGGGTACCTTTTCATAGATGAAGGTTGACATGGTCTGTAACTACTCTCCCCACATTGGTGACTCGGACGTGATGTGAACACGCCTACCTTGGCAAGAACGCCCACTTTGATCTGGATACGCCTACATCGGCAGTAACGCCTACTTCGTTGGATGGTCCACATTGANAAGAAATGCTTAAAAAAATTCAGTTTCGCTGTTGTTTTCAATACTATTTCTTCCCAAATTAATACTTGAAAATGAATGTTTCCTAGAGTTTTAAATCTTTCTCATAAATAACCATTTATAATAATTAGTCTGAAAGCTACAATTTATGAAAGCTATTATTTTATAATGCATATGAACCAAACGTTCAATGCAGTAGGAATAAATGTATTGTTCATCAGCTTGGATTTGTTTAGAAAAACGTTTATATCGGGTTCAGTTCAATGTTCGGAGTGGTTTCAAGCCATTTATAGTATTCCATCCAATAAAGTGGATGACCCAATAACATTCAGCTTAAATTTGCTTATGTAGTGTGTCTACCACTACGAAATTCCAATTCCAATTCACTAGTATATATGACTTGTTAACTCGATTCTAGTTTTGGGTACCTTTTCATAGATGAAGGTTGACATGGTCTGTAACTACTCTCCCCACAGGGCAGTTGCCCTGGGCCCAGCATCAGAGGGGGCCCTCAAAAGGAATAGAAAGTTTATTTTAGGTTTCCTTCTTTAATGGAATTTTTATACACAAAATATTAGTACAGTTTAAAATCCGTCAGTTTTATGTTAGCTTCTTCTTTATTCTATCGTATTAACAAAAAAAAAATCTATGTTTCGTAAATCCATGGCTTTCTAGTGCGGAATTCAGCTAAATTTTCGTAATTACGATGGACAAATTTGGCCATTCATTTTTACATATCGCAAAATGCGATATGTTTACAAAAATACAGGCTTCTGAATGGCTTAAGTAAATCATCGTAATTGCGAAAATTTAGCTAACTAGATGACAAACTAGATGACGAAATTAACAATCAGAAAACTCCATTCGACACGATGGACACAGAATTGTCAGAAAATCAATAAAATGGACAGAACGATATTTCGTCTGACCATTGGATAAGGAGGGGACTTCAGAGCTATTTCAGGTTTTTTTTAATTTTCTTGTTATAACATGTATAATGAGGTGAAAAATTTAAATAACCTCCATAAAGTTCAATTCTTCATTATTGAACAGTTAAGCAGAGGGGGGCCGAATAAAGTGTAATATTGCATCAAGCTACAAAAACGTACTTTGATACATAATTTGCCGACTTCAAGGTAAAAGATGCATTACATTTTTAAGTATGTTATTTTCAATGACAAAATACAAAATTTAAATTAAATTGGTGAATTTCGTAAATCCACGGCATGGAGAAATTAAGTTTATAATTTGTTAACTCGAAAATAACTCGATCTACTTCGATCAAATTTTGTATTTAAAAATTGCTTACTTTAAAATGGTGTTAAAATTTGTATACATCACAATTAAAAAATGTCTCGACTACTTTTAGATGAAATAATTAATAATTATTAATTTTTTTTTAATTGAAATTGTTTATAGATTAACGGATTTTATAATTGTGTGCAAAAATGTTTTGATTTGCTTAAAAATTTCTCCTGCATTATAATTTGCTTTAATTTTATTTAAGAAAAATATTTGTTACTTGTATTGATGTTCTTTATTACATTTAAGGAGCATCGACATTTTTTAAGTGCTTAGGGCCCCTGAGGTTCTTTATCCGGTTCAAACAAAATTTCAACATATTTTTACAAATATAGCATAATTTAATGCTTTTTTTCTCGCCTTAATAGATGCAAATATTAGTTAAAAGATAAGAGGAGGAAAAATGAGTTCTTTTCTCTTGAGAATTCTTACACATGTTGTAAATTTCTCGAAGAATATATAATTTAGATAAATGCAAATCACGTTTCCCACTCCAGTGAAAACTCCGATTTTGTTTAGGAGTAAGCTGTAAAAATGGAGTCCCTGATTTTGTTCGGAGTATTTTTCGTATTTTCGTGTCCTTTCTATGTAGCCGTCAAAGGTATGCATGTTTAAAATTAAAGAAATAATCAGTTTTTTTGTATATAAAAATATATTAAATTTAAAATACTTAGACTAAAAATGGAAATTAGTGCGGGTTTCTAACAGAGTGTGTCTTAGCAAAAATTTATAAAATGTAATTTAATATTTATTTATACCTACCATGAATTGGAATTGTCAAGTTTTACTTCTCTTTCATTTGGTGAGAGGAAAATAATTTCTAGACGATCTTTTGTTCTTCTAGGAAGAGTTGATTTATGGTGTTGAATATTAATTGGGAAAAAACGGTTTATCTCTATTTTCCTTTTTACAGAGAAGACTATTGGATTTTGTGCATTTCGAGGATCAAAATTGTGATGGCATGTCCTCGGATCATCCTCAGGGATGTTTCCCAGACCTTCGCCAATAGCCCGTTGTGCAGCTCTAGTGCGACGTAAATGAACAACAGCATTTCGAGAATTACTAAGTTATCCCAAATATGGGAAAATGGGAAACAATAAAGGGAAATGGGATCAACTTTGGGAAAATCTGTTATGAGTTCATCTGTTATGAATCTGTCAGCAAAAATTTTAAATTTTGCTTTGAAATTTTTATGGTTTGTAAGTTAAAGCGTGAGATATTGGCGAATGTTTTTATTTTCACCATATGAAAACTACACATAAGTTCTTTATGCACTCCCTATATCTTGTTCAAATTTTTAATCGATAATAAAATATTTTTTATTCATCCACTCAAGTTTAAAGAAATTTTTTTGACCTTGTAGTAAATGACACGTGATGTTAATACAGTTTTTTTAAATATTAATTCATTGATTAAATAGGGATGAGCGAAAAACGAAAAGGAAATTTTCTGATTGGTTAAGCGTT